CAACAGATTCATCATATTCAAGTTATTTGATGTTTATCTTGCATAATTGTTTATTCTTTTGTTAATTATATTATTTTAACATGCAAAATATATGTCGATAAAATTCTTTCATAATAAAAATGCAGACACGATCATTACACGAGACGTTAAATTCGAAAGTAGTCCATGTCTTCGCTGTGTTAAACTGTTTTATTATTTTATTTAGGGTTACTTAACGATTAATATTTGCAACCATAAAAACTTAGTGTTAACGAAGCAAATAATGATAGTACATTGGTATGTTGGATTAAACGTGTTTAGCAAATTTCTACAGAAATACACTTTTTTTTACCAAATTTTTACTTAACGTATATTTAATTCAAAAAGAATTTTCTTGAAAGAATTTGACATATGCTAACTAATCTAATCATTTTATTGTTATAAACTTCAAGGTAGCTAAGCTGAGACTTGACACAATTTTATTGGAATTCTTCTTGAACTAATTACTTCTTCCTTTAAGTGATCGAATGAAATCGATTTCACATCACGGCTTCTACGCAATCGAATACTTTTGCATGAATTTGAATACATGTATTTAATTTCCGATTACAGATCGTAGTGATTTGAACGTGATTCGTTATCTACATTGATTCACTCTTCATTCTTCACTGATTCATTGCCTCTCACTAACTCTCATAACTATGATTAGGGTAAAGTTGCCCGATATGACACCCTAGCCAATTTTCGTTATACATAGATGTCCCGACTGTGCATCGACACTTCTTTTTTGCGTAACTAATGCAAAATTAACTAACGTCTTGCATCGTTTCGTCTACTTTTTTGGCGACCAGATCAGTCTAGCGTTGTGGACACCCATATTTGCAAAATACGTTGCGCAAAGTTTTTGAAGGAGTTCGATTATATTAAAAATATTTTATTTATAATTATTTTCATAATTACAACTGTATAGCGCATTCAACTAAGTTCAAGATTTACTAGTTACATATCATTCTTAAAATTCTTTAATATTTTATATGTTATTGTTTGCCAAATATCAGACCTTTGGAAGTTCTGAAATACATACTTCTCAGCGAAAATCAAATATTTACGTTATGAAAACCCGTTTGTAGTTTCCGTTGTTTTCGAACGTACTTACCGTTTCACTTGTCTCTGAACACTGAATAGATCAAAATTTTGCAACTTCATTCAAGTGAATTATAACTTGAAAATATTAGGAGTACTCCGAGTGGAAACTTGATAATAAATTTTGCAGAACTTAACTATAATCTTCGCTCATATGCTTTTTACATAAATAAATTATAGCAAATGATAACGTAATTAATATCTACATTTTTAATTTTTTCTGTCTTTTAATTCTTATTTTTATTTCCATGCAAATTAATCTTTTTTGTTACACTGTTTAGTAAATAGTAATTACACACTTCCGCATGTGTAAGAGATGCAAATGATATTCAGATCAGTAGCAATTGTATCTATTGACCTATCGGAATCGTAGGCATAAGCACAAAACATGTTAACACTTTTTGCAAACAATTTCCTCGCGACAAAGTTTATGAACTAATTAAAATAATTTCAGAATAACATTCATTCTACGTCTACTACATCAACGCAGATTCTCTGTTCTATTTGGTTAACTGTTAAATATTTATAAAAATCTCCTAAATCAAGTTTTCTTGTCAAATGCTTTTTTAGGATCTTGAACTAGGAAGTCAAATAATTCCTGCATCGATATATCTAATCGACATTAATGAAATTCCGAAAGATATGATCATGTCATGCATATTTACACGTGTGAGATAACGTAACTTCTATGCGTATCGAAACGTAACTGTGTTTGGTACTTAAATATAGCGGACCACGTTAATCTTTGCGAGACGTCTTCATAGAATTTAGAAATTGTATTTGAATCACATTCGTGGTCAACATAAATTGCTACTAAATTAACTGAAAGCTTTGAATTATGTAATTCAATTACAACACAGGTGGATTCCTATGTAACTGAATTACAATGTAGTTGAATTACCATGTAAAAACACAATATAATTAAATCGCGAGATTGGATCATAATGTAACTGACTTAGCACAACTTTGCTAGCACAATCGTCCCTTGACATCCTTTAGTCATTAATTATATTTATGCTCTGGCATTCGTTCGAGTCAGCGTTAAATTCAGTTAGTCAGCGTTAACAGGAGGTAGGATCGTAAGCGATAGAATCATAATATACAGGGTGTTACTGAACAGGTGGCACCATTGCGATGGTTTAACGTGCGAAAATACGTCGACAAAAAGCAATAATACTTTTTCGTTCGAAGGTTCATTTGTTAGAAAATCATGTTTGAAAATGGGTAGAAAATACGTTTGTTATTAGTTATACAGGGTGTTACCGGACGGTTTGCAAATAATAATAAACATATCATCTACACATTTTTGCACTTGATTTTCTCGTAAACGAAGTTTCGAACGGAAAAATGTTGTTCCTTTTTTCGACTCATTTTCGCACGCAGAATTACCACATGCCCAATGGTACCACCAGTCCGGTAATATCCTGTATACACGAAGAAGCATCAAGGTCATTGCTCAATCATTTTCACGGTGATACTTTGCGGAATACGATCGTATTCCTCGACTTTTTCCCAATCACAGGTGATATAAAACATGCGACCTTCGTAGCGATCATTGAAACTCAGAACCGGCTATGGTATAATCAAGGTCACTGATGATACGTGAACGCAGCAGCCGACGCGGCAGTTTTGTATTGTCCTGGGAGTATTTCGATCTCAGATCACGGCGAACCTCTGAAAGGCAGCAGCACTACCGTTTCAGAATCGTTCAGTGTCGCGAGCAGAAAGCTCGCATTAACGTTCCACGAGTAGTTCGCCGCTCGTGACTCGTACGCGATGAGAGCTCTCCGGCTCCTTCTCGTTTTGCAACTGTGTACCCTGTGTACCCTGTGTACCCTGTCGGCCGCTCAACGAACGGAATTAGACAACCCATTCTACTTGCAGCTTTACGGTCAACTTCGTAACATCTTTTTTCGTGTTTTCGGTATGTGACCCAACAGACTTTCGTGAAGTTTAATTGTTCTTCATGACAACGGGAATTGTATTTCGAATGACGAAGCTGCCTGAAAGAAAGTTTGTAAGCATAGTTAGGGGGGCGGGGGTATGGGGTGGTCAATAAATTTGTTGATAAAGTGAAGCTATTTTATGCGAAACGAAAGGGTATTTATACAGAATCGTTGGATTTTTGATACTGAATAATATTTTTAGTAAAACTTCTAACTGATTGAGTAAACGAATTGAATTTTAGTTTCATTATATGGTTTGTGTAAAAAATAGGTGAAACAGTTAACTCTTGTGCGTTGTTCAAGACAAAATTGTATAGAACCTAAACTGTCAATAAAAAAGCGAAAATATTTTATAGGAAGAGTAAAGTAGAAAATTCATCTAGACAATGATGTGTAATTTTCAGTAAAATTTTGAACTGTCATTCAAAGTAAGCAAACTAAATTAGTTTCATTATATGGATCGCGTTAAAAATCGCACTGTTTAGGTCTGAATTTCGTATAACGATTGATAAACTGTCAGTTTTAAGTGAAATTATTTTATAGGGGTAGTAAACTATAAAATTTATTTACGTACACATTTATTACGTACTGACAAAAAAATGTTCGGAACAAAAGTTAATGTGTTCTTTGAGGAAAGAAATTGTATTAATAAAAATATTGAAAAATCTTTTTATACGATAAAAAACGCAAGTATAACCTTGACTATCTTAAATGGCACTACGTACTTTTGACGTTATAGCGTTATGGCTGACGAAGAGACAAATTCAATGACCTACTAGACAATGACATTCGGATAACCTTTACCTTAGAAATTCACGGTAACTGAGAATATAATTTTCCTACGTGTTAATGAAACGTACATGCAGCTCAGGGTTAAGGATACTTCTAAGAGGAATGTCAACAGTAAACATATATCTTTATCTCTTATTTACAGTACACAGAGTAGTTTATTACGATAACGTTAATACGTATTTTAGGATAAGTCCGAATTACCGAAAGAGATGGACGAGATAGAAATACGTTTATTGAAAACATTTTTTCCAATAAACACATGAAAGAAAAGTTAAAGTGTTAAGGGAAATGAAGAAAACTGAGATTCATTTAGAAGATCAGCATTAGATGATTCATCGTCGTTTTTATTATAGTACAACAAATTCGTTTTCTTATTACTGGATCGAAATTATCTATGAATAAAGCTACGATAAAGTGACTTGTATAAAAAAAATAGACATCGTTCAGGTCATTCTGACCTCAATAAAAGTCTACGTAGTTGTAGTGATGTTTCATACGTTATACTTGAGAATCTGACTCAAATCATCGACAATGATTCTGTTTGCAGCTGGATTCCTCTTTCCTTTGACAGTTTGAACGTGCAGGTATTCGAAAACTATTTAAACTCAAGTGTATACTTTATAGGTTCATGAATTTGAAATAAAATAGCATGTTATTTCAAATAATCCCATTTGAAGTGTGCTCAAAATTTCGTGAAACATAAAATGATTGGTTATTTCCATTGTTGTACAACCTCGATGTTTCTAAGCATTTTCGGTTCCGTTTTATACAATGTGCGAGATACTACTGTAGATGCAATGAAAAAGCTGTGAACAAGTGCACATTGGACAGAAACAAAAAAAAAGAAGTTAGCAGCATACGTGGTGATTTCCTAGGCGGTCACAACTCGTTACCCATTAAAGTATTGACGGCGTTTAACGCTGTGTTTAACTTCGATGATCGGGCGTTTTGTTCTTGTTTGCAAAATCTCTTTATTATATTAACTAGGTATATAATAAAGCAAAATATTATAAACACAATATTATAAACCTAATTCTAATGTGTTTATTTAATTCAAATTCGATGCTTGATACATATGTTGATTTTTAAAGGAAAAATGATTAATTACTGATATTAATATAATATTTTATATTATATTATAATATACATTAATAAATATAATAATAAATATTAATATAATTTATAATATATTAATTAATATCATATATATATGATAATAATTAATATACTCTAGGCGACCTCATAATGAATACATAATTTTTGATATGGTATTTTATACTTAAAATTATATGATACATTGTGGTCTCTAATTCCCGTTAAATGTTTGGTTAGTGTACTGCTAGCTATATTGATTCTTGTAAAAACTTAATATTAAATCATTGATGTGTTGTTCGATGAATGGGAGTCTTGTAAGTTTGTATAATTTTCGTATTTTCGTGTTTCTATGGGCTAACAGTTTGTAATTTATTGATGATCGGATGAGAATCGAATCATTGCAACGTGAAACGGCAGTTGGCGGAATACAGTTTAGATATTATATATATCATATATATAATATATATAATAATATATATAATATATTATGTATATATAATTCGATTTTCATCCGATTACATTTTAAAAATATTTTTGTTAGACATCCATGCAGATACCATTGAAATCTTTAAACCACTTATACAGTAATCCATAATATTTTATGAACACAGGAAATTATAATTTAATATTGATAGTGTCCAACTGTTTTTTAAAATTACAAGAAGATCTGGAGTCGACTTAGTGAGATTTGATGTAATTTTTATTGCAACATGGGCACCAATAAATGGATTTATTCAATAATTTTCCATACAGACAGCTTTAAAAGTTTAATAATAAGCCCGTTTAGGTGTTCTAGTGTTAAAAATCTTCTTCATTGTAATTTCTTTCGTTACACAAATATTTTTTTATACATTAGTTCGCCCATCATTGGCCAGTGTTTTCCGTTAATAACGCGTGAACAAAGCCGCGTATTGCATTTGTTCTAAGGAAAAAGTTACTTCAAATGACCTATGGAATTTTCTTAATCTTACCAGGTTTATTAATACAATATATTTGTCATGTGACAGCGAAAAATATTGAAAACAGAAGAATTCATGACGGACCTGCCTTGCCAAATGTCCAGGATGAAGTTCCTCTGAATGTTCCTTTCCCTTGCAACGTAACAGGTAAAGTAATTTATTTCTTTAATACTTCTTATTATTTACGTTGCTTTTATCACCAGGAAAAGTTCCTTGACAATTCAAATAGAAATCGTACAACAATAAATCTATTCACATTTTAATGCTTGAAGTTCCTACTTTGTTGCGGTATATAACGGGTGGGAAACTGAAGGCACGTTTTTTCTAAAAACTAATACCAATTGAAATGTTCGTAAAAACATTAGGAAAATATTTTTCGTGACTGAATCTACCACAAGTATGTACATTAAAGCTTTCGCTTTACGGCATTTCCCTAAAATAGCATAAAAACTTAAATATATCAGAAACAAGTTTTAAAGAGTCGTTTTTAAGGGAAAACTATTCGAGTCTACAATAGATTCAGTTAGGAACAAAATATTCCGGTACTTATAGAGACTTTCGATTTATAGCATTAACGCTAAACAGGAATCACTAATGGATGCAAATACTTACAGTTATTCCTACTTAATTTTCTCAATACAATAAATCAGAGTATTAGATAAATATTTGCGATGACAAGGAGATACTACATTTTCTGTATATTTCCACTTATACTTGAAATTGAAAATCACGACGAAATAATTTCACTATGTCATTAATACTAAGACTACCAAACCGGTCAAGTGAGACTCATTTTTTATTTTTTATTTTACAATTCCTGATATTATAAAAATGTTCTTATGAGAAATTTGTTTAAAGCAGATTTTGTGCATTTATGACAAAAATGAATTGATCAAATACAAAACTGTAAAGGCATTAGAAAAATTCAATGACACTGCTCTATTATTTTCAACTTATTAGAAAAGTATTATTAAAAGAGGAAAGACATTTCCTCGTACTTCCAATTAACTGAGACAATTTTTATTTTGTAATCTAATTATTATACATAAGAGAAAGATTATGACAAAAGGTCTAAATACATTCGGCCAACAATTTTCATTCGATATAATGTGTAATGCATTTTCTAATTATGTAAGGATAAAAGCTCGTTCGAAATATAAACAGAACGTATTCAAATTCATCGCTTCTGTTATAAATAGTTCTATTTAACAATTATAAATGCTTCAGACTCGACTGAAAAAAAAGAGAACGTAGGATGAGAAGTTTCACCATAGCCTCCTTATTGTCCACGCCTGTTTCTTTGCAACAATCACTTGTTTTTAACTGTGTCGAACATTATTTCAAATAGTCGTTTAAAAGCGATGCCGAGGTCAGAGGAGTAATTAGTTGATTTTTTAAAAGTGAAACCGACGTCTTTCTCTCTAATAACAGAATATATGAACTTGTAAATTACCTTGAAAAGTTACATTGAAGCAAGTGTTGAATGCTTTGTTACGTAAAACTATGAGAAAAATACACAAATTCCACTTGATAGTTTATATTCATATGAAGTTTTTCCGTTATATTGTAATAAATTAAATAATAATGTAATAATTAAATAACTTAATCCCATTCCTATTGCTGTTCATAATTTTTACAGTTTTTCTCACATTCCAATATTTTTTCTTTACATTGGAGATTGGAGTTACTTTCACGTTTATTTAATTATTCGAAATTTACTACTTCGGTGTTGCTTTATAAATTGTTTTTGATTTTTTTGGTTGTACCATCAACTTTAGTATTTACACTAGTGTTTATATTAAGCCGCAGATTTTTTATAGAATGAAGTTAATACAGCAATGTAAACAGCATAATATGGAACGACATAAAATCAATATGCAAAATGACGTCTTTCCACTATAAAATCTCAATAATAACTAACCTACCATAAAAATATTTGGCGTTTTTTTATAGTAGAAACCAGGATTGGGTATTATTCGAATTGTTTCGAATAAATATTTATGTAAAATAATTATACAAATGAATTCTTTTTAGTCGAATATTTTATTCGCATAACACGTAATAAATTATTCTATTTCTTCGAAAAATATTTAATTTTTTATTCGATGTTAATTGTTATCCGATGAGATTGTTAAATTATTCGAATATGCTTTTAAGCACATATGTGTTGTAAGTACGAATCCTGGAATGTCGAGGACATCCTTTGCATCTGAAGAGAGATTATTTATGCATTATGATGAATCTACTCAAAAGTAACAAACTTTCCGCGATGCAGCGGTTGAATAAAAGTTAATCATAAGAATTATCGTAAGAAATTAATCAATAAATTATGGAAAAACACTATATTCGATTTCGAATTAATTCCTGTACAAGTGGATTCGTATTCAAATAAAAAGTAACCTTTTATTCACGTGAATTTTTATCCCGATAAATTGTTATCTAGATAAATTTTATTCGATTGGATATCTATTTGATAATATCGAATAAAATTTTATTCATTAAATATATTTATATTCGTTTTATTCGCTACAAATATAAATCCTATAAATACATATACGTATACAACGTGTCGATTATTTTTCATCAAGAGTCCTATTATTTTATAGAATCTTTTTTTTCACATACGCACAGATCAAATACCCAGAACATTCTTAAATTGTCAGAAAAAGAGAGTGTAAACTGTGAAAGAATTTGCTCACATGTTCTATGCTACTAGTTCTAAGTACAATAACTAATTGTAAGTCTCAGTAGCCGAGCGGAAGGTGATTAAACAGAAAAAAATTCAATACTGTTACGAAGAACAAGGATTATAACTTATAGCTACAACATTATGTACAGTATGTAGCCTTCAAAGTAAACTGCATACTTTGCAGATAGCCATCTGGATAGTGAATATGCATATGAGAGTTTCTTCGCAGTGAAGAATTTCCTAGCAACAGTCTCATTACTTCTTTGTCACATTCGTACTTTATGTTATTTAGTTACTTATTTAGTTATGTGACTTAACAAACTATATGCATTGTTTTCTTGTACATTTTCTGTACACTAATATTTAAAATTATAGAACATCCTGAAAAGCACCATTCACTTTCATAAATTAAACGCAAGCGGTAGTGGAGCCGGTTACTGTAACGTGACCAATTGCTGTGCCTTCGGTTTGTTTTCGGGCATAATTGACTTCATATTTATCGAGTTATTAGTACTTATTAATTCATTTTATTCTTTAATTTTGTTTACTTTGTAGTAAAAAAGACATATTAATTTTCGTATCCTTTTATTTTATTTATCATTAAAAACGATTTAATGTGCCTTATTCTACAAATATAACTTTAATTATGCCCGAAAACAAACCAAAGGCGCAGCAATTAGTCACCCCACAGTAATCAGGGTGACAAAAACGATATAGTTTCTGTTGCATCAAATTACTAGAAGACTATCGATAAAAATAATGCCGCATATTAATACCTAGTGTTACATTTCTTATTAGTGATGTATAACGTATTTAATTTTTAATATAATTATGTTATAAACAGGCAGCAGATCTTCGCAAATACCAACTTCTGTTCATCGTCTAAGACCAGGGGATATAGACATAATCGGAGGGATAGGCGATTCTATAACAGCAGGCAATGCAGTCTTCTCGAAGAGCATCCTCGAAATTTTGATTGAAAGCAGGGGTGTATCAGGGAGCTCTGGCGGCCAGGGAACTTGGCGAACTTATACGACGCTTCCGAATATTCTCAAAGTATGTTATTTAGTTACAGTACTAAGACTTTGTACTTGAACGGCGATTGTGCGGCTGATTTGATTTATATAATACAAATGAATTTTAATCTCGGTGATTCGAAAAAGTGGCACCATTTGGTGTCCTCCAAAAAGTTTTTATGAATGCGGGTAAAGTTCTGTTACACCCCTGTGTCGGCTCGTTATGGGGGTGTGGGGAACGATTGAAATGAATAACAGATTTCTCAGGGATCGTCATTCTCAATGTGAAGGGGGGGGGGAGACCGTTGAATGGGGATTACCAGGAGAAGTGTTCCTCCTCTGGAGTAGTTGTAGCAGAGAAATAGGTGGAAAGCAAGGGGGGGGGGGTTAAGGATCGAACGATTTACGAAGTGCGAAGCCACGCTGCACTTGTTTCGATAAACTCTAGGTGCAGGTATTTTGCACCCTCGACAGTTCGTAGTTGCTGCTTTATTACTCCAAATATTCGCTCGACCTCATTATGTATTATAAAATCGCACTAAAATTACACGTTACTTTTTGATGCGCTAAGACTGTACGCGCATATTATAAATCTCGTCATCACACGGTGAAGTTACATTATTAATTTAGAACACGCTGCACTATTTAATTATGCCTTGTTACAAGGAATATTTACACAGTAGAATGCATTTTTGATTGTGCAGGAATTTAACCCAAAGTTGAATGGCTACGCTGTCGGGGATTCGTATATTACACATGAAGCTTCGCAATTCAACGTCGCCGAGGCTGGTGCAATGTCTCGAGATATGCCTTTCATGGCTGAATATCTAGTTAACCGAATGCGGAAGGATCCAAGGGTTGACATGAACAAACACTGGAAGGTTGTATGCTGAATTTAAATTTTAAAAACAATAACACAGTCAACGCAATATTTCGAACATTTACGTAGACTTTCGCGAAGACTTTCATACTAACAACAAGTGTAATGCGATTAATTTTTATTGAGATGTGATTAATTTATTCTTGACAGATACGTCAAGAAACAAATTTTCTTGATTTCTAGATCTTCATTTTTTGTGAACATTTAAAATAAAGCACACGCAAATATTCTTAACGCAACTGATTGCAAATGCGCAATCGAATAAAAATTTGACAGAGGGGTACGTAACAAGTATAGTTCTCACGCGACAAGAAAGCACCTTTGTGTTTACATTCCCCCTCTTACTAGCTGTCCCACTATCGCAGCTAATAAGAGAGGGAATGTAAACACCTGTCTCTTATACACATCTAGATGTGTATAAGAGACAGGTGTTTACATTCCCTCTCTTATTAGCTGCGATAGTGGGACAGCTAGTAAGAGGGGGAATGTAAACACAAAGGTGCTTTCTTGTCGCGTGAGAACTATACTTGTTCTGTCTCTTATACACATCTAGATGTGTATAAGAGACAGGTGTTTACATTCCCTCTCTTATTAGCTGCGATAGTGGGACAGCTAGTAAGAGGGGGAATGTAAACACAAAGGTGCTTTCTTGTCGCGTGAGAACTATACTTGTTCTGTCTCTTATACACATCTAGATGTGTATAAGAGACAGGTGTTTACATTCCCTCTCTTATTAGCTGCGATAGTGGGACAGCTAGTAAGAGGGGGAATGTAAACACAAAGGTGCTTTCTTGTCGCGTGAGAACTATACTTGTTCTGTCTCTTATACACATCTAGATGTGTATAAGAGACAGGTGTTTACATTCCCTCTCTTATTAGCTGCGATAGTGGGACAGCTAGTAAGAGGGGGAATGTAAACACAAAGGTGCTTTCTTGTCGCGTGAGAACTATACTTGTTCTGTCTCTTATACACATCTAGATGTGTATAAGAGACAGGTGTTTACATTCCCTCTCTTATTAGCTGCGATAGTGGGACAGCTAGTAAGAGGGGGAATGTAAACACAAAGGTGCTTTCTTGTCGCGTGAGAACTATACTTGTTCTGTCTCTTATACACATCTAGATGTGTATAAGAGACAGGTGTTTACATTCCCTCTCTTATTAGCTGCGATAGTGGGACAGCTAGTAAGAGGGGGAATGTAAACACAAAGGTGCTTTCTTGTCGCGTGAGAACTATACTTGTTCTGTCTCTTATACACATCTAGATGTGTATAAGAGACAGGTGTTTACATTCCCTCTCTTATTAGCTGCGATAGTGGGACAGCTAGTAAGAGGGGGAATGTAAACACAAAGGTGCTTTCTTGTCGCGTGAGAACTATACTTGTTCTGTCTCTTATACACATCTAGATGTGTATAAGAGACAGAACAAGTATAGTTCTCACGCGACAAGAAAGCACCTTTGTGTTTACATTCCCCCTCTTACTAGCTGTCCCACTATCGCAGCTAATAAGAGAGGGAATGTAAACACAAAGGTGCCTTCGTGTCGCGTAAGGACTATACTTATAATACCATATTTAGAATTGAACCCACATAACAGAAAGAGAAAATAAGATAACCCTCTAGTACTTTTGCGGAGTAGATTTCTACCCCACGCATAATATTTGTATTCATAACTTCGACACCTATTGCTGCTTTTGTCATTTGGGTAAATAAATAAAATATAGGAGCTAGGTCTCCCTTTCTGTATATTTAGCGAAGTTTATTTTAACTTAAAATCATGTGTTCTAAATTGCCTGTATTTACAGTTGATTACAGTGATGGTCGGAAGCAACGATTTTTGTATCAACATGTGTGGATCTTCTTCACCCTGGTCTATTTTGGAGGAGCACAAAACAGATCTAGTGAAAACCCTCAGAATACTGAAGGCTAATTTACCGCGGACATATGTTGCTCTGATTTTGTCACCCCACTTGAGAGCGCTTGTCGAGGCTCAAGATAACCCCAAAGACATAAATTGTTACATGATAACAAGGTTCGAATGTTCCTGCTTACTTGGCTTGCAATTTCGATCCATGAGAAATGAATATTACAGAATCATGGACAGGTTTGTTCTATTTATCGAATATAATTAATCTAAATACAATCTGCCTTTGGTAATTACCATACTGCGAATCTTTATGTAAATTCTCGTTTTCATGAATTCTTTTATAAAAGTCTGAAAGTGGAAAAGATTTCTTGCACATACTAGGAAATTCCTTATGGTGGGCATAGAGTAGTACTATCACCCGTAGTTAAAATCTCTTATCTACTTACTTAAAAATGATTTTATTAATTTGAAACTTCATTTTTTGGATGAATAGGCTACGATAATTTAACTAAAGAAGGCAGAATAATACAATTAATTTTTGTTAATGTGCACGTTTATTCACATTTCAAAAAATCGTATATACCACATAGTGATCACATAGCAATTATTTACAATAGCAGGGTCACTTTCGATGACCTTGATCTACAAGGGGTTTCAGCCGCGTTCCTTGTTATTCCTTAAAAGACTTTCCCTTCATGTCTGACCTTGTATGGCTTTTAAGGTCATGGTCATACATATAAATAAATTTGTCTCGACATACTAATGTTTTATTAAATTAAGAACTAAATGTCATCTTTATTTTCGAAAAATATTGGAGATTTTAAAAATGTACGTACACTATTACGTGGTTTATGCGAAAGAAAAACTTTTCCTCTAATATCTTCTTCTAGCAGTTATCGTTTACAAGAAAGATGTTGCAAGTTATAACTTAAACCACTGCTGCTTTACAAAACTTTTGTTTTCTGATACAATATGGCTCCTATATTTTTTAGTTAGTTAATTAATAATAGTGTTTCTTTGGCGTTACGTTTACAGGTGGCACGATTTGGATAGAATAGTTGCAGAGTATCCAGAGTTTCACACGGACGATTTTACAGTAGAAATACAACCTTGTCTTGCGAATGTAAAGTTTCCAAGGCACAAAGACGGAAATGTCGATGAATCGTATTTTGCTGCTGATTGTTTTCATGTAACTCAAAAAACGAACGCGTTATGTATGTACTTGCATATTAGAAATATATTCAAGAATTTCAAGTCAAAGCATATATATATATATATAATAATAACACAAATAATATATATGAATAATTATAAAATACAAAATGCGAAATTGATTATTTAACACTAAACCTACCGTGCCGGCATATTGACCGGTTTCACATTTCTTTTTTTTAAATTATCCAAGTTACGGAGTCTCCTTCATACAAAATAATTAAATAAATCTTTTAATTCAATCATTAAGATATAAAAAAATATCGAAAAGACTAAATAAATTCAGTCTTGGTATTTTTACGAAGCAACAGACGTTAGTTGTTTCTAATGATCGATAAGATTAGTGTTAACTTGCAATTGTTTTCAGGTGTAGGCAGCCATGTTATTAGTTTGCAATTTATTTTCTCATGTAACGTAACAGTAGAGATAGCAAAATGTTCACAGCTCCTTGCTTTTCCCTTATATTCAACAGGTAATCGGGTTTGTGTCATATTAATTAATCTTGCTTTACTTATTACAAGATGGAAACTGTTTGTGGAACAACTTGATGGAATCGTATGACGAGAAGTCTGACCACTGGCTGCCGTTGTTTCAAAAGTTCCTGTGTCCTACACGAGAAAGACCGTATCTAGTCACACGCCAGAATTCCAAGGGCAGTAACAATTTATAAAGCGAGGCCTTTTCTTCGATGTATGCACGCTGTACGATATTGTCATAATGGGCAATGTAAAAGCGTCATTATTTCATATTAGTAATTAATTTATGTATTTAAATGTGCAAGAATGTATGAACTATAGCATCCTAGCGAAAAGTCAGTGGCATCCACTGATGGACGCTGATCAAATATGGGTGGTGTTAATGTTAATGGTTGACATTATAAATTGTAATGTCAAATTACGCGCATAACTGCATATAATTATTTTGGTAATAAGCGGGATTTAAAAAGAGGGCTGTGATTCAAAAGAAAATCAGGAACTGTGATTTAAGCGACGATGATACTGAAATCAAAAAATTAATTTATATTCAATCAATTAGTCTATTAGCAGCGAATTGCCATAATTAGTATAATAATTACAAGAAACGTTACTGTAGTGTTATCTTAAGTAGAGCCTTACGTGGAATTTAAATAAATTAAACAAATTACAATTGTAACATGATATTACCCAATTAAATTATTGCTTTGTTTTTAAGTTGAATTTGCACTTGTTTCGAGTATGCAGAATTGGATTTGAACCATAGTTAGATAATGTAATATACGAATAATGCTCATCCAGATGTTAAGTTAACCAAGTCTTTGAAAATACCTCATCACTGCTCGTGCATGTAATGATACATAATCTACGATCTATAACATAATTTACTATGTCAGCTTATTATGTAAATGACCATTGTGACCCGATTATTTAAAATAAAAACAATATTTTACATCGTAGTCAGTTTTATAGACTTTCATTCTATAACTCTGCGGCTATCCTTCACACTTGTTTGTAGATTTTTAATTTCTGTTTGCTTGTTAAACTTTCTCCATGCAAATGCACAATCTGACACGAACATGATAATTATACTTTGTGAAATTGTCTATTCGTCTTCATTCTTGCTTCAGTATTATATTTATAATAAGTTGTACAGTAACATATACATTTATAAAACACATTATTTAATACAATGCAATATTTAATATACGTTTAAAAAATCAAGACGACCCTCATCCTTTATTTAAAAATTCTTTTTCGAAGAGTTAAATGCTCGAACAAAAATAAATTAGCGTGTATCCTTAAGCACCTTGCTAATTATTCAAAAATATTGCTAACAATGTCATGCTCGATGATTAGTGTAAGTTTAGATCGAACAGGAATAGGTAAGTAAAACTGTAGATCTTTATGCAAATTTCAATTTTCATAAATTATAAATAATGAAAATATTGATTGGATATTGAAATTCAAAATTCGTAAGTACAATTATAAAAATTATAATGCATCATGGTTTAGGTTTAGTATGGAATGTAATATGTAATATGTAATTAGTAACATGTAATAAATAAAATATGTATTTAGTTTCAAAATTATTGCCTGTCTAACACTATAATTTTTTTTGCAATTTATTTAGTTACTTATTCGTTATATAAAGCAATTATTTTTATAGAATTTCATGGTTATTTTGTCCCATAATAAAGCCAAGTTTATCGTTAGCGTCTGTGCCAAAATAAACAATTTACATCATAAATTGGCAAAATGGCGAACGATTAAATTGCAAATTTCAAAAATTTCATGCTTCCTTCGGTAATTTTCTATCAAAAGAAATATAACAAACTAAAATAATGATACATGTGTATAATTGTAACAATTTCGGAGCAGTCGGTCAATTAGATTTGACGCCTTATCTCAAAAGTTATGTGTTTGTATTTAAACATACCTTCATTGCAGTTATAAAGAATTGCTTATGTATGCCGAAAATGTAGCTAAATAAATTACAAACAAATTACAACACTACACATGTCACAATTGATTATTAAATTTTGTAATGTTTACTAAGGGATCATTCTAACACAGGAGCCATACTAGAATTTCAATAATAAACAGGTGCGTTATTGTGAAGAGAAACTATAGAGAGATTAAATATGATGCACGTTCTTGGCGCCAATGCAATACGTACACTCCTATTCATAAGTATCTGGACACCTAGCAAATTCGTATAAATTGTACATTTATATTACAAAAATATAAATATCTTTTAATAATGTTCAATAACAGACTGTAGATCTTTGTGCAAAATAATAATTACCTGCACAAATTGCAGTACATAGGAACAAGCACAAGTATTTTTCTTTCTTTGATAATTTCAATAAGTTGTAATCAACATTCTTAGTTTATTCAGTTTTGACGACAGTATATGCATAATATATGTTATAAAATTGTCATCACCAGAAGATTTCAAATGAATTCAATAATTTAAATATTCTCATATTATTATTTCAACCAATGTGTCCTTCTTTCTATGGACAAAAGAACTTCTGTAAGTCTGTTTTCATTTTCAAAATCTAACTAGTTTTACTCTGGCAGGGTAGATATCTTAATTATGTAAATTAAAACTGTTATTAAAAATATTATCGAAAATTTGTTTGGCAGCAAAGGAATTCACGTATAGCTGTATAAATTTATTTAAAAGTTTAGATAAGCTGGGCTAAGGAGAAGATAAATCATTTGTAAAATATAATATATAATATTTATCATTTGATAATAAATATTGCTTCTATTAGCCAAGAATAACGACAAGGTTATTATACGTCAACATAATGAATCGATGAATGATATAATAAAGATTTTAGATTTCAAAATCTGCAAATGCTATATAAATGTTCGGATACTTATGTGCGGGAATGTACATGTGATTATTAGCGCCACTAAAAGAACAATACTTTGACTTGGCAACTCTTACTCACGTACGATGTCATTGTTACCGTAAAAGAATACGAAAGAACCGAGTTATTTGGTTCGGAAAAGAATGGTAGAGGGGCCATTGGTGGAAAAGCGTAAGTCCATCCTTGGTTTGTCTTCATTCATGTTCTGTGCCATACTCCGTGTCTATCAGGTGATTATCGATGGAAGGTGATCAAGTGCATTCGTGCGATCTCTGTCATTCTGCAGAGATGCAATAAGCAAAACAAGTGGCAAAAAAGTGTCTATGTCGCAAGTCATTAATAAAAGTGAACAATAATCGTAAACTATGTGTTCGAGGTTTTTACGTCAATTGAAGTTGTGAGTAATTGTACCGGAAATGCAAATAATAGTAACAAAATTACGACGATATAGATAATGCTTTTAAATAATAATAATTAGGACCATACCGGTGTCAATTAGGTCTGTAAAAATGTTAGAATAATAACGGAGTGATTAATAGTTATGAAGAAGAATATTTTATAATCACAACTTTGTTTCGAATTAATAACAATGTATAACACAGAGACTAATAAATTATTATATATTCTGAGAAAGTATAAAAACTACTAATAAGTAATGACGAAATTAATATAGAGTATAAAAAAGTATAGATATAAATTGTGGAACAAAGTGTTTAAAATAATATTATTTATAAAAATAGTTGA